TTGAGCATTAAGGTGACTGGCTTAGGCATGGCTCACCACCAGATATTGCAGGTATTTGGGGAATTAACCAGAGGATGGAAGATCTCTCTTTCTCTCTCACACTCAAACACACCAAAGTAACAAAATAAAAGTTTTTAAGTTTCATTTAATTTCAAGTGGATTTACAAAGAGACAAAGAAGGAGGAAATGAGGGAGGGAGGGAGGGAAGGAGGGAGGGGAGAGAGAGACAGAGATAAAGAGAGAAATATTCCATCTGCTGGTTCACTCACAGATGGCCACAGGGACTGGAATTGGGCCAGGTCAAACCCAGGAGCCTGGAACTTCACCAGGTCTCCTATAAAACAAGAGGCACAAGGACTTGGGTCATCTTCTGCTGCTTCATTGGGCATGTTAGCAAGAGCTAAATCATAGCTGGAGAAAATGGGACTCGAAGCTGCATTCATATTGAATGCCATGGTTGCAGGCAGTACCTTAATTTGCTGTGCCATAATGTTGGCTGCTGTTGATCCCCACTTTCTGGTAATTTGAATTGCAGAATGACAGCAAGACAGAAAGATAAAGTGAGACAGCTGACCAGTAGCAGAGACAGAGAGACCTTCCATCCACCAGGTCACTCCCCAAATGTCTACAATGGCCAGGGCTGGGCCAAGTTAAAGCCAGGTGCCCAGAACACCATCCAGATCTCCCATATGGGTAGCAATTGAGCAAGCACTTTGGCCATCACCTAAAGACTCCCAGAGTATACATTAACAAGGAGATGCATATGAAGCCGGGCAGCTGGGAATCACCCGACACTCTGATATGGGGTGCTGGATTGACAAGCAGCAGCTTCAACAGCTGCACCTGAGTGCCAAGCCCTATCATGGTTTGTCATTGTGCAACTCCCTATCCTTTAGTGTAATAGACCTGGGATGTGCTCCTAATGTATGTAAGAGAACAAAAGCTTGAGATGTGGTTCATCAAAAAGTGAAGCATGGGGCTGGCTCTGTGCTGTAGCAGGTAAAGCCACCACATGTAGTGCCTGCATCTCATATGGGTGTCAGATTGAGTCCAAGCTGCTCCACTTCCAATCCAGCTCTCTGTATGGTCTGGGAATGCAGTAGAAGATGGCCCAAGTGCTTGGGCCCTGCACCCAGAGCTTAGTCTCCTTTATCCCTTTCTCTTTTCTTTATAGATTCAAGTAGAACATAAGCATATAGTTCTGTAAGCTTTGATGCTGGTTAACTGTATGATCACTAAGTATACTGACAAGAGTTCACTGTCAAACTTAAGAATGGGAATCCAAGATGGGGGAGTTGGAATGTGAGTGGGAGGGAGAGGAAGTCCCATTGTGTCCTGAAAGCTGTATATAGGAAACATATGAAACTTGTATAACCTAAATAACATATAAATCAATTTAAAAAGCTCTTTTCTTTGTTGGTCACAAAAAGGGATACAAAAACCTTAGAAGAATTAGCACATTAAATAAATCACTTTTGAACCACTCTGTTGTGGCTCACTTTGGTCTACCTGCATAAAACTTGGATACAGGGAATCATCTCCTATTATTTAAATTAAACAATGTTAAGCAGGAAAACAATGACATAAACAAGAAATCCACCAAGTGGCCATTTCTCATTCAATCTCAGGGAGTACCAAGGCCAAGCATTGATACATGGAAACACCACATTTTTGTTTCATGGGTTGAAACTAATGTTTCTTTCTCTGTAAAATACACCCTAAAGGTTATTAAAATCTGACTCTAATCACATCCTGTTATGTTATCCAAACCAATTTAACCAACTTAGAAAACAAGTTTGGAAACTTTTTTTTGGGGTGTTATGACATTATTTATGTATTTAGTTTTACTAAAGAACATAATCTACCTTTGGAATTTTCACTATTACATTAGTGGATCATTGAAAAGTCAATAAATTGTTTTTTTCAACTTTTATTTAATGAATATAAATTTCCAAAATACAGCTTATGGATTACAATGGCTTCCCACCCATAATGTCCCTCCCACCCGCAACCCTCCCCTCTCCCACTCCTTCTCCCCTTCCATTCACATCAAGATTCATTTTCAATTCTCTTTATCTACAGAAGATCAGTTTAGCATACATTAAGTAAAGATTTCAACAGTTTGCTCCCACACAGAAACATAAAGTGAAAAATAACAGATGTTTTTAAATGATGATGAAATCCGATCAGACCTATTGTCATGTTTAATACCAGTGAGAGTCAAGTTGGGAATTGATAATTTCTTCTTCTTCTTCTTTTTTTTTTTTTTACAGAAGATCAGTTTAGTATACATTAAGTAAAGATTTCAACAGTTTGCACCCCCATAGAAACACAAAGTGAAATATACTGTTTGAGTACTCATAGCATTAAGTCTCAATGTACAGCATGCTAAGGACAGAGATCCTACATGAGGAGTAAGTGCACAGTGACTCCTGTTGTTGACTTTACAAATTGACACTCTTGTTTATGGCCTCAGTAATCTCCCCATGCTCCAGTCATGAGTTTCCAAGGCTATGGAAGCCCCTTGAGTTCTCCGACTCTTATCTTGTTTAGACAAGGTCATAGTCAAAGTGGAGGTTCTCTCCTCCCTTCAGAGAAAGGTATCTCCTTCCTTGAAGACCTGTTCTTTCCACTGGGATCTCACTCACAGAGATCTTTCATTTAGGTTTGTTTTGTTTTTTTTTTTTTTGTTTGTTTGTTTGTTTGTTTGTTTTTGCCAGAGTGTCTTGGCTTTCCATGCCTGAAATACTCTCATGGGCTTTTCAGCCAGCTCCGAATGCCTTTAGGGCTGATTCTGAGGCCAGAGTGCTGTTTAGGACATCTGCCATTCTATGAGTCTGCTGAGTATCTCACTTCCCATGTTGGATCACTCTCCCCTTTATTTATTCTATCGGTTAGTATTAGCAGGTACTAGACTTGTTTATGTGCTCCCTTTGACTCTTAGTCCTTTCATTATGATCAATTGTGAACTGAAATTGATCACTTGGACTAGTGAGATGGCATTGGTACATGCCACCTTGATGGGATTAAATTGGAGTCCCCTGGTATGTTTTTAACTCTACCATTTGGGGCAAGTCAGCTTGAGCATGTCCCAAATTGTACATCTCTTCCCTCTCTTATTCCCACTCTTATGTTTAACAGGGATCACATTTCAGTTAAATTTCAACACTTAAGAATAACTGTGTATTAATTACAGGATTAAACCAGTCATATTAAGTAGAGCAGACAAAAAAAAAAACTACTAAGAGGGATAATGTATTAAATTGTTCATTAACAGTCAGGGCTATGCTGATCAAGTCACCGTTTCTCATAGTGTCCATTTCACTTCAACAGGTTTCCTTCTGAAGGCAGTGATATTTAAGCTCCAAAAGGGAGAAATCACTTTAAAGCTGACGTCCAGTTACATGAGACTGTTATATAGCCAAATGTCATAGAGGGGGAAGGGAGTCACTGAAAGTCACTGAAAGGGAGATGCCTTCCTGCAGAGGAATGCTGAGCTGAGAGAGGAGTCTTTCTCCACCCATCTCACACTAGGAAGAGGAGTAAGTTAACAAAACACAAATTTGAAACCAGGCACTAGAGTGGAGTGGTCCCTATTACAAGCACAACAGAACTTTGGCTCCACAACCTGATAATGGATTTTTAAATTATTCTATGGAGGAAAGATGTGATCTAGCACCATATTGTGAAAGAAAGTGGAGATAGACATTAGGCAAAATATCTAGGTTCCTCAGGAAGCCATTTCTCTTCATCCTGTAGTTTGAAAATAAGCCAAGCCATGGTGCAGAGAAAGTACAACCTTCTCTTTTTTTTTAATTCTGGCAGTCAAAGGAATTTCAGTGTTTAAGAACACAACCCAAAGGACAGCCAGTTATAAATGATTTGTTTCCCATCTGTGCTGAGAAGATAAAGAGAGAAGCTTGCTTCAGCATTTCTCTCTCATGCTACCCCATTTCCTGCTCTGCAGCCTCCTGTACACCATGAGGTCCAGGATGAGGGCAGCAGCAGCCCATAGGACCAGGTGTGTGTACCTAAACACACTCCTCCCGATCAGGTTTCTTTATGTTGGATAAGATTTGTACTCATTTAATGCTCTCTGGCATCCTGCATGCTGAGGTCCATGAAATGGGAGGAAATGGCTAGTAGGAATAAGCAAGCATACCTATGCTGTCTTCCCCCAGTCAGGCTCTAACAATGCACTCCAGGAGGTGGAGACAGGACTAGGCACCTGCACTATACAGGTCTTTGTACCTATGCCTAGTGTGAGTGAAACCAGTTGCCTTACATCCCCAGTTTTGAACCATGACATATGGCTGAACTTGGAAATGAGGTTCCACAAAGGGGGTCTCAACTAATACTCTCATGGCCAAAGTTTGGAGGGAGGGCAAGTTATCCTTGCTGCCCAGACTGTTGAATGTGCAGAGGGGGAACAGCGGTGTGGTATGAGGACAGAAATTTTCCCAGGAGGTCATCTTTAAGAGCATGGCTCTGGGATTACTGGGATTACTTCCAACGAGCTCTTTGGCAAAGAAAAACCTGGGCAGGAAAATGGAAAGCATCGGCATTAGTTAACTGGCACAGGTGACTTCTTCCCATACATATGGGTCCTGAGTTCTTTGGGGCACACAAGAATACAGCTCAATGGGAGACGCCACCTAGGTCTGCAATGCAGGCTCCTCAGTTCAGATCTAGGAGCTTTAAGTTGTCACAGGAGATTCTCATCCAGGGAACTGGGAATGTGGGCTTGGAGAATGAAACTCAGAATAAGAGTTCCCAGGGCAGAGAGCCACCTGAGCACATAATGCAGGCAATAATCAAAGAAAGAATAAAGTGGAAGGAGGACAAAAAGTGTCATCCAACTTAGGCCCTGTATCTTAAAACCAGTATCCCACACCAATTGCTTTTAATTGGCTCAAAGACCTGAGGTTTTTAAAAGAAAAATGACTATGTAGAAGATCAGGTGTTTTCCAAAAACCAGAGAAACAGTCTGCCTTACTCACCTTTCCAATGGATCTGAGGCAATCCAAGTCATGGCACCAACGATGCTGCAGGAATTTGAAGTCCATTCTTTGTCTCACAGCAATAAATAATCACAACACAGATAATGAGGGTGGGGGAGCAAAAGCAAAAGTAGGTTTTCTTGAGAAAATGATACTCCTGCTAGTCAGGAGGGGAACTAAGGAAGGGGTCTAATAAGGCCTGGGTACAGGGAGTTTAATTAGAGAGTTATATTAATGGATTCATTTTCTAAACAGACTTGAACACCATGTATCTGTATCTTCTCTCTTGGGAAATGGTCATGACCCCAAACCATGAAAAAATGTTACCTTACCTTATTGTCCCATTTGAAAAATGGGACAGTATATTCCCTCTCTGCCTGTAATTTCTCTTACTGCCTCCTCACCTTCCCTCTCCCAGACAGGATTCCATGACTACCTCTTAATTGTTTCACTTCTCATATAAGGGCCCCACCTCTTGGGCATTTCCCAAGAGGCTACTGAGATGCCACTTTGTACTCTGGACTCAAGGGCTTTCCTCTGGGGCTGCAGTATACAACACATCCAGGTGAAGAATTTTACAATCCTCCTGCCAATCCCTGGGCCACCCTTGCTCTTTTTAGCCTCAGTATCTTAGGTCCCTGCCTCCTCCTCCTGCTGCTGTTTCCTGGGATGCTCTGTCTCTCTGGTACTCCCTGGGAGCAGCTCCTGACTTCTAAATCATCCTCACTGCTGTTGGTGCTCAGTGTGGTGGAGAGGGAGGTCAGAGGATCGTGGCTGAGGACTGCACAGGCAGCAGGGATCCTTGTCAACATGACCAGTTGGGAACTATCTGTCCTGCAGGACTCACTGCTACTCATATTGGGAGTCCCATGGCAAGGATTCTGTCCTGATTGGTCTTCTTCAAGCATCAGTGGTTGGGAGCTGAAAGCGGCACACTCACGGGCTCTGCTATTGCAGTCTGAGTGTCCCAGGAGGCACTGGAGAATGGGGCAGCTCTGAGCACTGGGGATGTCCTGAGGCATGGGCTTCACTTTGTTGTGGTCCTTCTGAAGTACAGGGGACTGGGTTGGAGCTTGGGTGGCAGGGAGCCTGCTTTATGGTCCAGCTGGAATCCCAGGTCCTCAAGGGAACTTAGAGCTTCAGGACCCTGAGGAGACACTAGAGGCTCCATTTCACTATGTCCATGTATTTTTTGCATGCTGTATCCCTGCTGTTGGGATATCACCCAGTGTGGCACAGAGGACAAGGAGTCATCCCATTCATTAAGCCACAGTGGAGAGCATAGGCCCTATGGGAATTCTCATATTTCCTGTTCCTGGGGAAGAAACAGAAACTCTTCATTTGTTTCAGGTGCTTCATGTCCTACACTGAGCCACTGGTGGCCTATGATTTCTGCCACTATGGGCCTTGCCTCAGGGTCATAGGTCAGTAACCTGTCCAACAGGTTACAAAGCTCTGGGTTTATGTAGTAGAGGATTCTGTAGTATTCAGACAGGATGGTTACCTTCAGCTGCACAAAATCCTCCCCATCAAAAGGTAGTGACGTGTGGGAAAAAAAAAGAATAAAATTCAAACTCCTGAAAATACTCCTCGATTATTTGATTTAGTCAAAGTAAAAGATGAGGAAATTCTCCAAGCTTTTTAGTTTGCTTTACAGGATACCTTGGTAACTGACAACTTGGATCAAGCTACAAGAGTAGCATACCAGAAAGATAGAAGATGGAGAGTGGTAACTTTACAAGGACAAATCATAGAACAGTCAGGTACTATGACTGGTGGTGGAAGCAGAGTAATGAAAGGAAGAATGGGTTCATTGGTTGTCATTGAAATCTCTGAAGAAGAGGTAAATAAAATGGAATCACAGTTGCAGAGAGACTCTAAAAGAGCAATGCAAATCCAAGAACAAAAAGAAAGTACAGCTTGAAGAAGCAGTAGTTAAGTTATGGCATAGTGAACAAGAAATGAGAAACACACTAGAAAAGTTCACTGCAAGCATCCAGTGATTATCAGGGCAAGAAGAATATCTAAATGTCCAAGTTAAGGAACTTGAAGCTAATGTACTTGCTACAGCCCCTGATTAAAAAAAAAGGCAGAAATTGCTTGAAGAAAATGTTAGTGTGTTTAAAAGAGAATATGATGATGTGGCTGAGAAAGCTGGTACTGTAGAAGCTGAGGTTAAATGATTACACAGTATCATTGTAGAAATCAATAACCATATACTCAAGGCCCAACAAGACAAACTTGATAAAATAAATAAGCAGTTAGATGAATGTGCTTCTGCTATTACAAAAGCCCAGGTAGCAATCAAGATGGCTGACAGAAATCTTAAAAAAGCACAAGAATCAGTCATTTGTACAGAGAAAGAAATAAAAGATACTGAGAAAGAAGTAGAAGACCTAACAGCAGAGCTAAAAAGTCTTGAAGATAAAGCAACAGAGGTCATCAAAAATACAAATACTGCAGAGGAGTCATTACCTGAGATCCAGAAAAAACATCGTAATCTACTTCAAGAACTGAAAGTTATTCAAGAAAATGAACATGCTCTTCAAAAAGATGCACTTAGTATTAAGTTGAAACTTGAGCAAATAGATGGCCACATTGCTGAACATAATTCTAAAATAAAATATTGGCAAAAAGAGATTTCAAAAATATCACTGCATCCCATAGAAGATAATCCTGTTGAAGAGGTTTCAGTTTTGAGCCCCAAAGACCTTGAAGCAATCAAGAATCCAGATTCCATAACAAATCAGATGCACTTTTGGAAGCCCAGTGTCATGAAATGAAACCAAACCTTGGTGACATTGCAGAATATAAAAAGAAGGAAGAATTATATTTGCAACAGGTAGCAGAATTGGACAAAATTACTTACAAAAGAGATAATTTTGGACAAGCATATGAAGATCTGCGGAAACAGAGGCTAAATGAATTTATGGCAGGCTTTTATATAATAACAAATAAATTAAAAGAAAATTATCAGATGCTTACCTTGGGAGGGGACGCTGAACTGGAGCTTGTAGACAGCTTGGATCCTTTCTCTGAAGGAATCATGTTCAGTGTTCGACCACCTAAGAAAAGTTGGAAGAAGATCTTCAACCTTTCTGGAGGAGAGAAAACACTTAGTTCTTTGGCTTTAGTATTTGCTCTTCATCATTACAAACCCACTTCCCCTTTACTTCATGGATGAAATTTATGCAGCCCTTGATTTAAAAATGTGTCCATTGTTGCATTTTATATATATGAACAAACAAAAAATGCCCAGTTCATAATAATTTCTCTTCAAAACAACATGTTTGAGATTTTGGATAGACTTATTGGAATTTACAAGACATACAATATAACAAAAAGTGTTGCTGTCAACCCAAAAGAAATTGTCATCTAAAGGACTGTGTTGAATTTATTCATACTGAAGACTTCAAATCAAGTGAGCATACATTCAGTGTGTTATTGATTTTCTATTTGTAATGAATTGTATATATATAAAAAAAAAAGGTAGTGACCCTGTCACCATGGTGTACAGGACCACACCCAGACTCCAGACATCAGCCTTGTACCCACTGAACTCCTCATCTAAGAATTCCTCTGGGGCACAGTATTCAAAGGTCCCACACAAATACTTCCAGCATTCTCCATCAGCCAATTTGCAGCTGAGCCCAAAATCGGTCAACTTAATATTTAGATTGGCATCTAGAAGGAGGTTTTCTAACTTTAAATCTCTGTGCACGATGTGCTGCGTATGGCAGTAATGCACAGCTAATAAAGTTTGGTTAAATAGCTGACTTATCTCTTCATCTTGTAGGTAGCCTCGTTCTATCATAAAACATCTAAGGTCCCCCTGATTGCATACTCCATAAAAATATAGGTTCTCTCTGTTGTGTGCCTTAGCTGCAACAGTTTTATAACGTGAGGGTGATGCAGCCCCTTCATTATTTCTGCTTCTGCACACAACTGCTGGAAGCTGCAGGAGCGCTGGTCACCATTCTCAACGATCTTCACAGCCACCTGGGTCCTGCTTTCTCAATGATAGGCCAGTTTCACCTGCCCAAAACTGCCCTGGCCAATGAACCTGAGAACCTGGTACCCATCCAGGACCTCCTCCTCACTGTTGAAGGCTGTGAGACCTTCCATTGTGGGGATACTCACCCCCACCCCCCACCCCTGCAATCTGACACTTGGAACACTTACTAATCACCTAAATTAACAATAAAAACTGTGAAACAAATTAAAATCAAACAAGCAAAATTGAAACAAAAATGAACAAACTGAATATGCTAACAGATAATGCTAACTATATGAACTATAGTATACTAATCACTAAAACTGTATCAAAATTAAGAATTAAAAGTTATAAAACACACAGAATACTAAAAATGATAAAGTAAAGCAACACCAACTATGGTAACTATGGTAACAATTCTAATCAATAAGTCTTATAATGTTCCTAACTAAATCAAAGGATTAAAAATGAGAAAACAATCAGAAAATGGGAGAAACACAAGAATGATAAAATGAACACAGCATAAAATACATTTAGCTTGTGATAACAAAAAATAAATAAATAAATAATAATAATATTTAAAGAAAATAAAGACACAAGAATACAAAGTAAAAATGGGAGGGGGAGAGAAATTGAAAAAATAGAAAAAAGAACAAAACAAAATGGAAAAAAAAAAAGGAAAAGAACCACTAGGGTAAAAAGAACAAATAGACCAGACAAAACAACACACAGACAAAACAACAACACAAAGGACAAGACAAGGGAAAACCAGTAAATGTCATCCAAGTCCTTCAGGCAGTCTCCACAGAGCTTCCTGGGCCAACTGAACAAGAACCTAGGCCAAGCCAGGGAACTATTAAGGCAATTGGAATGACATAACAATGGCTCATCTGATGTCAGAGCAAGCTATAAACCAATCATGGGTGATGATACACCTTGGTGGTTTTCTCAAGAAACTTTCTACTTGGTTAAAGTGAAAGGGCCCCAAAATTTTTGTTTATGTTGGTGATAGTAATTGATATTTAGGTTTTGATAAATTAACAGCTGAAGGCTGTGTCAATGGACTTTTCATTTCTAGTTTTAAAATTTGTAAATAACTCTTGGCTTTGGTAGAACTCCTCTAGTCTACACTCAGAATATTCAACATGATACATCTCAACACGTTGGTACCACTTCACTGGCATCATGACAATAGAACAAAATATTATGCTTGCCAAGTCACCATCAGGTGCATGGTTCATATTCATAGAGCTGAGAGGGAGGTTTCTTTCATCATTTACCCTGAAGTTCACCATCAGATTGCTCCTCAGAAACCCTGGAAAGCTGCAAGGTAGTGGGTTGATGTAGTCCAGTGTGGAAGGCAAAGTAAGAGCAAATTGTGAAATCTATAACCTCCAAAACTGCTTCAAATCATAAGGAGGAAGAAAAGACATTCCAGGATATTTCAGTCCTTTGGGGTTACCATAACAAGACCATGACCTGGGTAACTGAAAAAGAACAGGAATTGATTTCTCATTGTTTTGGAAGCCAGGAAGTCTAAGATCAAGGCCCAATAGATTTATGATATGGGAATGACTCACTCTCTGTTTCTAAGATAGTGCCTTCTTTTTTTCTAAAGATTTATTTTATTTATTTGAAAGAGAGTTACAGAGAGAGGTAGAGACAGAGAGAGGTCTTCCATCTGCTGGTTTACTCCCCAGATGGCCACAACGGCTGGACCTGTGTCGATCCAAAGCCAGGAGCTTCTTCTGGATCTCCCACGTGGGTGCAGGGGCACAAGGAATTGGGCCATCTTCCACTGTTATCCCAGGCCATAGCAGAGAGCTGAAGCAAAAGAGAAGCAGCAGGGACTAGAACCTGCACCCATAGCAGATGCAGGTGCTTCAGGCAAGGCCTTTAATCTGCTGTGCCACAGCGTGGGTCCCAGATGGTGCCTTCTTAAAGAAAAAAAAAACTGATAAGGAAATTAAAGGCCAGTGGCCTAGTGTGGGCAATTCAGCCTAGATGTAGGTGTTGAAATGTTGCACAAGTATTATAATTTTTTCCAATACCTGAATGCTAATTTCAGAAAAATACAGTGCCTTCTTAAGATTCCTCATGAGGAACAGCCTTCTTAAGGTGTCATCCACCTTACAGAAAGTCCCCCATCCTGGGGCTGCTGTTGTGGGTGGGTTAAGCCACCACCTGTGATGCCAGCATCCCATATGGGTGCTGGTCCTAGTTGTAAGGGTATTGGATGGTAGGGGGAAGATGACATAGAACTACTTACATAGCTGTTATATAGGGGAAATACAAATCTCCATAGAGAGACTCATTTAAAGAGCTAAAATTCTATGAACAATTGTTCAATGAGGCAGCAATACAGCCTCCTAGAAAGAGCACGGGCTTCAGAATCAGATCTGGTCAAACACCAGCTCTGTCGTAGCTGCTTTAAACTAGGCGAGTTTCTGAATTTCTCTAAGCCATTCTTCTATAAAATAGAGACAACAGCACCCACCTTGTAAGGGATTAAATAATCCAAGTTGCATAATGGAAAATGTGGCACTCAAAAAAATTAGCTTTGGGGACCATTATTCAGAAAAATGAATCTAAATCCCCCATCCTGTAGTCAGGAAAACTTTAAAAATATAAATAAATCTTATTTAAGTTTTATATTTTAAGTCATTTGAAAACCTATTTTTCTTCACACCTTTCCCCATATTATACTATTCCAGTCATCTTCAGGCTTTTTATATATTTTTTCAACTGATCCTTTCATTTTCTGTTTTCACCCTCATTTCCATTCCCCTTTTACATTTCCTCTTGGTTCATGTCCATGAAACAACTGAGAGGTATTATACACCTAACAAGTATCAGTGTTCTAACTATTTTTTTTTGAATTAACTCATTTGACACACTTTTCCATCAGGATAGTTCTACTAAAACCAGCTAAGGTTTTCTTTTTTCCCCAAATTTGAAAGCTACATGTTACTGTCCAATTTCCCCTTCCTGTAATGTTTCATAAACTCTTCATTGTCAAGGTGCTAAATTTAGCATGACATCTAATAAATGAGGAAAATGAGGACAAAGAACTATGACAAAGAGAGGACCACAGGGAAGTAACTGTCTGAGAATCCTAATAGTACATGATCTTAACTTATGAGAGGGTGCTATTACTAGAGTAAATTAGAAAGAAACAGCCCCTCACTGAAAATCTGTATCAAAAAATAAAATTAATCAAAATAGAAACAAAATTCTACTAGTACAAACTAACCTGAGTGGTTTGATGGTTAGATTGATGGTCACAGTCACTGTACTTCCTAAATGGGTTTTCTGCATTCATGTTGAAGTGGCACATAAATGTAAGCTCTGGAAAGACAGGTAAAATATTTTAAAGGACCCAGTTACTGCATATCCTATAAATAAAAAATATTTTACTTTGATAACTGACTGAATATGTGGGGACTCCATGTAATCCAACGATATGGTTATTTGCTATACAGTCCTGTGCAAATATTTTTTAAGTGCTTTTTTTCCCATAAGGACTTTGATCCTACAGTTTATACAGGAATATAGCTACCTCATCCAGCATGTAGCATATTTTACAAGTCTTCAAGTTCAACAATCCAAATTGTTCATTCACATTTTGTCCAAACACAGCATTCTTGAGGAGTATGGCAAGTCAGTTAATCATCTAGAGACATACAAACATCTCCTGATTCATCCCATTGAGATGGATCATTCTGATCTCCATTATCAGATATTTCTATTTCACTCTCTTCTTATTTTTTATCCCGAGGGAATTCTGTATCCTGTCCCTGATCTACACCTTCTTGCCCTCCTGGTTGTGATTTATCTGCAGTCTACACAAACACCAAAGTCTATCCTGGGGGTTGATGCTGTGGTGTAGAGGGTTAAACCACTGTCTGCAGCAACAGAATTCCATATGGGCACCAGTTCAAATTCCAGCTGCTCCACTTCCAATCCAGATCCCTGATAATGTGTCCAGAAAAGTAACAGAAGATTACCCAAGTGCTTGGACCCCTATACCCACATGGACAGCCTGAATGAAGCTCTTTGCTCCTTAAATCAGCTGGGGAATGTAACTGACCTATTGTTGCTCCTCTGGGCTCTTGAATTCTTGCAAGACAGGCTGTTAAAGGTGTTTATTATATCTTCAAATTTAAACTGGTATTAGCTATGTAAGTAGTAGAGAGCTCTTGCTCTCTCCATCCCTTTCTCTCCCCTTCCCTCTGTCTCTCCCTGCTGAAACTGTCTTTCAAATAAATTATTTAATTTTTTTTCTTTTTTCTTTCTTTCTTTCTTTTTGACAGGCAGAGTGGACAGTGAGAGAGAGAGACAGAGAGAAAGGTCTTCCTTTTGCCGTTGGTTCACCCTCCAATGGCTGCCATGGCCGGCGCACCGCGATTATCCGATGGCAGGAGCCAGGTGCTTCTCCTCATCTCCCATGGGGTGCAGGGCCCAAGCACTTGGGCCATCCTCCACTGTACTCCCAGGCCACAGCAAAATTAATTAATTTTTTAAAATATTTAGTAAAAAAGTCAATTATGGAGAACATAGAAATAAACCCACATATCTACAGCCAAGTGACCTTTAACAAGGTCCTAAGAATACATATTGAAAAATAAATAGTTTTCACAATAAAATACCATTGAGAAAAGTGGACACCCATATGCAAAAGAATGAAGCTAGACCTGTCTCTCAACACACACAAAAATCAACCTAAAATGGTTCAAGATATAAACCTAAGTCCTGAAACTATGAGCTAATAGAAGAAAGCATATGAAATGCTTCAGTATATTTGAATGGTCTCAAAAGCACAGAAAAGAAAACAAATAGTCAAATGTGCTTCCATCAAATTAACAAGCTTCTACATAGTAAAGAATACAATGACTAGAGTGAAGAGACAAGAACAGAAAGGGAGTAAATATTTGCAAAACATACGTTGAGAAGGGGTTAGTAATAAGAACATGTGAGAAACCCACTGAAGAGGATACAAAGAGAGGTATGCACCATTAGTCACCTCTTGTGACACAACAAACCAGTTTTTAAATGTAAACTGCAGACATCCTGACCAATACAGCAACATAAGACATTCAGGCCACTGGCTAGTAGCGACCAGTGATGGGATGACAGGAGGAACTGTTCATATACACCATGACACCAACTCTTAAGAGAACAACTACTCTACTAGAAATTCATGTCTGGTGAAATGGGGCCAGGTTCTTATTCCTGTATTTCCAAATGGTAAGTAACATCACACAATTTTACAAGTTAAAATGTCATTTGTGATTGCTGTATCTCTAATTATATAAGATGAGGTACTGCTGGGTGCAGGGAAAGGAATGAGTTAAATTTTTTTAAATGTCATTAACTGTATCTGAAATATCAACAGTCTCTATGTGCCATCACAACTTTCTATTGTGAAAACTCCCACTTTTTTCCTGAGTGGAAATTCTCAAAAGCAATATCAGACAGGTTTTTTGTTCGACATTCAATAGTTATTCAGCATATCACCTTTGCTTAATTAAAAATGAGTGCTATAAAAATTACATCTTAGCAAGGTTTCATCTCTGGATGCAACAGACTGTTGCTGGCTAAGTGGTAATTACAGTGTATTGATTGAGCTCGACCGGATTCTGCTCATCTGCAGCAGAATCCACTGGAACAGCCCCTTCCCTGTGGCCACGCTTCTTCACATGCCCAGTGCTCTCCTATATGCTTCTCTTGAGGTCTAGCCTTTTACCTTGCAAACAACCAACCATGGTTGGCTCTAATCACACACACACACTGTGCTGCAAAGCTCACACATTAGGGAAAGGCCCTACAGTTACAGACCCACTGGTGTTTGGGAACAGGGATGGCTGAGAACACCCTGGCACCTCCTCCTAAGAAGTGATACAAAGGGTCCCAGATCTCAGAGCTTGCCCTTTAAGTGTTTACAGCATCTGTTGGTTTGATTTGAAGAGGTCAATTATTTCACTGCCCAATGACAGGAACAAGAAGAACTGCCCTGCACATCCTCTAGAATCACACCTCAAGTGGTCCTTTGATTCCAGCAGAGGGGTCTGTCCACAGGGCCAGAGCAGGATAGGACCCTCTGTCTTCCCAGTGAAGCAAGATCCCCAGATGAGACTGAAGAGGAGACCAGGCCCAGGAGCTGGGAGGAAAAACAGGAGGGTAAGGTCCAGGAGAGGACTGGGGACAGAATAGGACTGCATGTGTTCACTGGAGCTGGGCTCCCTGATGGTAGCATGACAGCCAGGGTTTCTTCTGTCCATGTTTGGTCTCAAGAGTGCAGGCATAGAAGGGGACCTGAGATCAGGCTGTCACCAAGGGTTATGACCATGTGGGCAGAGGGCCTGAGCATCCTCAGCGTCCTCAAGTGTGTATGGGACACCCATTGTATGCAAGAACACTTAGGAGATGAACACTGTATGTAAATTTATGTGGTGGAGCTGCTGAGTTCTGGAGGGGCAAAGATCAAAACATAATGCCCAAGTTCAAAGTAACAAGTACACAAAGGGTGAAGGAGGGGCAGGAAGACCTATAACTGACATCCTGCAGGTTGCTTCCCCAGCCCAGTCCCTGTAGATGTAACCCTAATAGCACCTTGCCCCACATGCATGTCTGAACCTTTACTTATTCCTGGCCCCAAAATTATTGGTCCAGCTTAGGTCCCCTCCTCTGAGGCACACTCAGTGCTCAGGCCCTCTGCCCACATGGCCATAACCCTTGGTGACATCGGGGAGTGGATGGAAAGCTCTTTCCAACTTTGAAATAAACACACTCTGATTTTAGACACAGAATTCAGCTCATGGCCTGCACATCCTTGCATCCAAAGCATATGTCTGGTCCCCAGCCTGGGGCTCCACTCACTGAGAGGACTAACACCTTCTGACACTGCCTGGACACAGGGCAGGAGGATCAATGCAGAATCCACAGAGGTAAGACAATGAGGAAGGAGGAAATAGAGCCACTGTCCCTCTTCTCTGGCCTGGTATTTCCTCTCTAGAAAATGCTTACTTAAGAGGAAAAAAAAACTTTTCATTGAAATGGGTCCTATTATTCCTGACCTTATACTTTTTTTCTTCTCATCTTGGCACCATCAGGAGTACTTGGCAATCAGCAGGCTTTCTGTGCCACAGGAAGAAAGGTCAAGTTCATTTCTCTACACAAGAACAGGAAAGCTGATGAGGAACCTGTGCCAGCAAATGCCCAAGGACAACTCAGCAAGGCTGAGCCATCTCATCAGCAAGAGCACCAGCTATCATCACAGGGGCAATGAGACACAGCCTAATGCCCAAGCTGGGAGACAATAAAAGTGAAAAGAACTCTATTGGGTGTGGGCACAGCTTCACCTTCATTAAGCAAAAATCTAAAATCATCCAGGAGCTCATTATTCATTCTTCAGAGGTTGTGTGTACTGTATGCCTCTAATTGAACAGGAATGAACAAAACATAGAGCTTCTTCCTAGAGAGGCAAGATCCACATTTTTCTCATCAGGCAAGTTTGACAGGGGACCCAGCAAAGAGGAGAGAGGGATGGGACAAAGTGTAGTGGGCTCAGGGTCATGAGAGAGGATATTCTGAGAGGAGGGATCAGCAAGGCCTGAGTATGAAGGCGCGCGCACACGTGCGCGCGCGCGAGAGAGAGATGGAAACACAGGAAGTGATCAGCCCTTCTGTGTACCTGAATAACATGGACAGGGGTAGGATGTCCAGAGAACAGAGGTTGGGCCAACTTAACAGATTGCAAATGTCAAACTTATTAAGGTGCTTAAACCTGTTCCTAGGGAAGGGGTTGGGGTTGTTTAGCAAGCTTTCTCTGGAAAAAGACAGGAAACACTTCCAGCTCCATATTACATAGGCCACTGTTAGAACTAGAAACAATATGAGCCCTGACCATCTACAGGTTCCATAGACATAGGCACAAAGTCCTCGGGGAAAAATGTGTCACTGCAGCTGACAGGTGCCACATAGTCAGGTCTATGTTATTTGCATCTGTACTGAACAGACTCCTTCTTATCATGATTCCTTAAACAATACAGAACAATGCTCATTCACATAGAATTTATATCCTATTAGATATCACAAGTCATCTGGAGATGACTTAGAACATATTGAAGGATGGGTATAGATTCTATGTGAATACTACACTATTTTTTAAAAGGATTTGAGCACCCATGGATTTTGATATCTGTGGGGATATAAGAAATATTACCCTCAACAAGCAAGGACTGTATTCAGCTATGTCACTCTAGCATGAATGTAGTCACAGATAATACAGAATGAAATGGGTGAGCAATGTTCCAATAAAACTTTATACATAGGCACACCTGAATTTCATATGCTGTATATTATGAAATACTCATCTAATTTTGAGAATGTTTATTTATTTATTTGATTGAGGAAGAGACAGAAAGAAAACTCCCACTGAGCAGTTCACTTTCCAAATGCCACTAACAGTCAGAACTGGCACCGGCCAAAGCCAGGAACCACAAACTCCATCCAGGTCTCCCACATGGGTGACAGGGGTCCAAGGACTTGGAAGATCACTGCCAATTCCAGGGTGAACATTAACAGGAAGCTAGAGTCGGGAGCTGGAGCCAGAGATTAAGTCCAAGCACTATCATGTGGGATGCATGCACCTTAGCCAGCTTCTTACCCACTAGGCCAAATGTGCACTTTAACAACCATTTAAAAATGTACAAGCCACTCTGAATACACCAGCTCAATAAAATGAGTGTTTTCCAACTTTTCACCTGCAATCTATAATAGCCCTGCTATTGGCAATGAGCACTGCAGACAGCTTTGGAGCACTAATACTGGCAGGCAAGAGAAAGACTGGCTCTAATGTTCTAGAAGGACAGGGATCTATCGGTTCTTGCTCTTCATAGCTCCCTCAGGTCTGTTAGTCTGTTCCTGCTGCAAAACGCCAAGATGGGCATAGTTCTTTGTCTCAGAGTTATGGAGGCTTCAAGTCTTAGGTCAAGCAAGGCAGCTTCTTTGGCCACAGGCCCCTTCTCTTGGCTTGCAGGTGGTTGCCCTGTCAGTATGAATTCCTGTGACCTTTTTTTGTGGGCTCATGAAGGAAATGAGCCAAAAAGCTCTCTGGCATGTCTTCCCACACAGACACAGACTCCAGTGGATCTGGATATGTTACTGAGCATCACAGTAGAGGGGATGCTTTTGGCATAGTGGGACAAGGCCAAGGATGCTATTCAGATTCCACATGATGCACAGGCCACCCCCATCATCAGAGAATGAGCCAGCCTCAAATGTCAACAGTATCAAGGCTCACATTCTCCAACATGAAGAATGGATAGCTAGAAGCACAGAAATGAAGACACACAATTTAGAAGGGGCTGCAAAACACCCTCCTCGAAAAACAAATAGGGCTTAGTATCAGTCATTTGCCATATCAGAGCAGACCAGAACTTCATTTGTTACTTTTTTTATTTATTTATTTTTAAAAAAGTAACAAATGAAGTTCTGGTCTGCTCTGATATGGATGAACTCAGAAACATGATGCTAGACACATGGGGCACATGTTGCGGCACAGCAAGCTAACACTGCTTGCAATGCTGGCATCCCATATCCAAGTGCCAGTTCAAATACCAGCTGCTTTACTTCCCATTCAACTACTTGCTAATGCACCTGGGAAAGTAATGCTAGATGGCTGAAATGTGTGGGTCCCTGCCAATCAAATCGGAGACCCAGATGGAGAGTTAGGCTGCTAGCTTTAGCCTGGCACGGCCCCCAGCATCATGGTTATCTGGGGAGTGAACCAGATGATGGAAGACCTCTTTCTCTGACCATCAAATAAAAACTAAATGTTTTAAAAATTTTGGAAAGAGGAATTATGTACACATATTTGTGCTAAAGGAATCAAAGGAAAAGAGGAAAGGATTTTTCATTTCTTCTAATAATTAGCAATGTTTCAAAATCAGTTTTAATTCAGTAAACACAAATAATAAATAAAATAGCAAAGTGAAAAAATACAAATACAATCCACCATACAGGATGTGATCCATGTGTGAAACCCACAGAATAGAGATCCACAGCAACAGAAAGTCAACTAATGGTTGCACAGGCAGGGGAGGGGCAATGAGGACTGACTTCTGAAGGGAATGAGTTTTTGAAGTGATAAAAAATATTCAAACTCAGAGCAGATGTCTGGCTAAATCATGTAGACACCTGCATCCAACTTAAAGTGCCTGGGTTCAATACCTGGCTCTGGCTCCTAATACCAGCTTCCTGCCAAAGCAGACCCTGGGAGGCAGCAGGTTGATAGCTCAAATAGTTGAGTTCCTGCCACCTAGTGGGAGACTTGCATGGAGTTCCACTCTTGTGGCTTCAGCTTGGCCCAACCCTAGCCTTGCAGGCATTTCATGAGTAAATCAGTAGATGGGACTCTCTCTTTTCAGAATTCATGGATTAGAAAGATCACCTAAAATGCAAATATAGATGGTTTTGGTATTTCCAATTTTGGTTGTTCCAAGGGAGGTGAGGCCAAGACAAACTGCAAGAGTTAATGGGATTTGGCCAGAGAAGTAGGTACAGTGTGGACCAGTTAGTGAACATCTACTGATTTATAAGTGGCATTAGGTGGTTTGTAATGTTTTTATGCTAATTTTTAATGGAGGAGAAGCTGGAATTTAATTCTTTAGCTTCTGCAGATGGATTTCATTTGGCAGTCCAGCATTTGTCTCAGGATTTGGATTTAAATTGGACATGTTAGAGTGTCTTTTCACCTGCCAATTTCTGGTATTATCTGGTGGGGGCAGCCTAGTAAAGTAGGTTGTGTTGTCTAGAAACCATACCTGGCATCAGGTAGGTGGGACTACAAACATGGCAGATGCTCCTTTTGGGGTCAATGGGACTTCTGCCCTTACTGGAAAATGGTCAACAGACTCTATCAGTAATATGGCTACTACCATAGCTGGTCACAAGCTGCATAGCAGAATCCTGGCACTACAATTTTTCTGAGATTTATGCTAGCTTTCACCACTCTGAAATGTATTCTAGATACACATTTTTTAAAGATGTGTTTTATTTATTTGAAAGACAGTATCACAGAGGGAGGTAGAGACAGAGAGAGTGGTCTTCCATCCGCTGGTTCACTCCCCAGATGGCTGCAATGCCTGGAGCTGTGCTGAGCTGAAGCCAGGAGCCAGGAGATTCTTCCCAGTCTCCCACATGGGTGCAGGGGCCCAAGAACTTGGGCCAATTTTATTGCATTCCATGCCTATAGCAGAGAGCTAGATCAGAAGAGGAGCAGCCGGGACTAGAACTGGTGCCCATATGGGATGTCGGCACTTCAGGCCAGGGCTTTAACCCACTGCACCACAGCGCTGGCCCCCAAATATACATTTCTTTTTTTAAGAAAAATTTTATTTAATAAATATAAATATCAAAAGCACAACTTTTGGATTATAGCGGTTTTTCTCCCCATAGCCACCCTCCAACACACAAATCAGTCTGTTTCCTATTCCCTCTCCCATCCCATTCTTCATTAAGATTCATTTTTAATTTCTTTATATACAGAAGATCAACAGTATGTACTAATGAAAGTTTTGAGCACTTTCCACTCACACAGACACACAAAGTATAAAGTACTGTTTGAAGACTAATTTTACTGTTAATTCTCATAGTGCAACACATTAAGGACAGAGATCCTACATGGGGAGTAAGTACACAGTGACTCCTGTTGTTAACAATTGAAACTCGTGGCCAGCACCATGGCTCACTTGGCTAATCCTCCACCTGCAGCGCCAGCACCTGGGGTTCTAGCCCTGGTTGGGGCACCGGATTCTGTTCCGGTTGCTCCTCTTCCAGTCCAGCTCTCTGCTGTGGCCTGGGAGGGCAGCAGAGGATGGCCCAAGTGTTTGGGTCCCTGCACCCACATGGAAGACCGGGAGGAAGTACCTAGCTCCTGGCTTCAGATCTGCACAGCGCCGGCCATGGTGGCCATTAGGGGAGTGAGCCAACAGAAGGAAGACCTTTCTCTGTCTCTCTCTCACTGTCTATAACTCTCTCTCTGTCTATCTCTCTCACTGTCTAACTCTGCCTGGCAAAAAATTAAAAAAAATAAAGAAAAGAAAAAGAGAAACAACTGAAACTCTTCTTTATGATGTCAGTAATTACCCAAGGCTCTTGTCATGAGCTGCCAAGGCTATGGAAGCCTCTTGAATTCACAAACTCCAACCTTATTTAGACAAGGCCATAATCAAAGTGGAAGTTCTCTCCTCCCTTCAGAGAAAGGTACCCTCCATCTTTGATGGCCCATTCTTTCCACTGGAACTCACTCACAGAGATCTTTCATTTAGATAGATAGATAGATTTATTTATT